CTGGTGACAGAGGCTGGCACTATTGGTAATGGAGACTGGCACTACGGGTGACAGAGGCTGGCCCTACTGGTGACGGAGGCTGGCACTATTGGTGACAGAGGCTGGCACTATGGGTAATGGAGGCTGGCCCTACGGGTGACCGAGGCTGGCCCTACTGGTGATGTGCTCTGAGAAGCATCTTTTTCAGGAATGCTGGGCTGAAAGGCTGGTGGTCCCTGCGCACTGTCCACCCATGGGCAAGCCCGGCTGTACCCAGGAGTAACTGAGTGGAACTTAAAGTTGCCATTTCCCTGCTCCCGGGGCAGGGCAGCAGCCACATACCTGTTTCAGTTGTTTTTCTAGTTTTTCTTTCTCCATCTGACAAACTTTGATCTACAGAGAAAACACAGGCAGTTGATTATCAGCAGGAGCTCGGGCCTTGGGGGAACCTGGGACCGGCCAGTACAGGGCCCAGGGAGCGGCTGAGCAGCAGAGAGCTGTGCTTGGGTTTCGGGCGTGCGTCTCTTCTGTCCTGAAATCCCAGGGGAAAGCGGGGAAGCGGGGAGTTCTTAAGTGTTTTCGAGTTGGTTGAGGCCACCTTGTTCCCAGTCTCGGCCGACCTGTGCAGACCTAGATGTAGCAGCGTCTGTCTCTCTGAATGAAACTGGCACTGTTCAGCGGCATTCAGGGCCTGGCTCCTGCCCCACACAGCCTCTGCACCACGGTGGCTGGCTCCAGACCCCTCGGTGGCAGCCGGGGGGCACTCTGGTACGTGGCCAGGGCCTGAAGGATTTGATCTGAGGTCTGTGTTTAAAGTCCTCCTCAGATCACATCCTACTCAGCCAAGGTTTCCCTTCATTGCACTGCGGCATTTAACCTGCAGCCGAGCCACTTAACATCGTCCTCAAATCCTTCCCTGTGCCTTACTGAGTTCTATCATTGTTGAACCACAGTGAACGAGACTTTTTATTTCTTGTACCGGGGATGTGACCCAGGAGTGAGGTTACCACTGAGCTACATCCCCAACCCTTTTTATTTTTTATTTGAGACAGGGTCTCACTAAATTGCTGAGACTGGCTGCAAACTTGGAATCCTCCTGCCTCAGCCTCACCACCACACCTGGATGAATGAGACTTAAAAAAAAAAAAGATTGGGCTATCATTATTTTAAAAGAAAAATTTGATAGTTTTAATGTATCAGTTTCAAGATTGTTCCTTAGCTTATAAACACAATTATACCATACTACTTGGACGATACATTTATTTTGCTGATGCTGGTCAAAATCGCTTTCTATAGATGCACAGGCACCAGAACTGCGTGTGGACTATGTTCTAAAATGCTAAGTAGGTGGACTATCTTCCTGGTTGAACTAAAAGTTCTAAAATGGAAAGCACATTGCCCATCTTAGGCACCAATTTATTGCCAGTCTGAACTTTTTTGGGTTTGGTGCAGAGGAATCACTCTGAACTTAATAAAGTAGAATAAATAAAATCGAAATATACCAGGAATAAAGCAATTTGTGCACTAACAAAGAAATCAAGGGGGCTTTGTAAGAAATAAAGATTGAAAGAGGAATTCTTCATGCAGTATAATCAGGACTTCTTCACCCACTGTTGTATAAATTATTTGTTAGGTTTCATGGATTACTTTCAGAAAATTAAAGAATTATACTTTTAATCCTACTAATTTCCTTTATAATTCCTTTATTTTATTCCTTTTAATTTTTTTAGGAAATGGTTCTACCAAATAATTCACCTCATAAAATTAAGAATTTCAAGTTAATCCTTGAAAAAATATGAGAGAAGAAATCAGATGTCGTTCACTGTCCACGTGGCATTGGGCAGAAGAGGACCACTGAGGGCTGGGAGTCCTTCAGAGTAGGGCAGTCCGGCAGCTAGCAGGCCTGCCCCATTTCCCCTTTCCTGAGACCCCGGCAGGGTTTTGCAAACCAAAGCATGTGGTCATTTCAAAATCGCCTAGGCTACACTCTCCCTCCTTCACATCATGCTCACCCTCACGGCAATGTCTGAGTCCACTTTTTCTCCTGTTAGGTGTGATTTTAGTGCACTTACAGTCAATACAGTCTAGTCCATAAACGGCTTCCCGGAAAGGGCTCTAGTCACACTCCCTCCGGCCCCAGTGACCAGGGCCCTGGGCCTCAGCAGACATGTGCACGGCACGGTTTCAGAGGGCAGGGGCATTCCAACACGCCCTTCCAAGAAAGCGACAGGAATTCAGAAACCACTTCACTCTATTTGAGTAGAAGGTAGTTCAACTCCCATTCTCCCGAGGTAAATGTTACGGGGAAAAGATCACAAGAATGGTATTTTACAAAAGACTCTGGAATCCTGTTCCTGGGGTCATTCCTCAACACACCCAAGTTAAAAGGAATCTCAGGCATTTTCATCTACCTGCAAGGTCGGGAAGAGTGCCTTCACCCCAGGTGTGGCCTCTCAAGAGCCCCATGTCAACCGGCAGAATTCAAAAGGCCTGGATACTTTTTAAATGAGAAAACAAAAATGGAGCACGTGTGCTTGGCACGGCCCGCTGGGTGTGTACCTGGGAACTCAGCCGGGCCAGCTGGGCGCGGGAAGCCTGATGAGCGCGCTGCAGCTCTTCTTTCTCTCGACTGAGCCTTTCCCGATCGGATCGCTCCCTTCTGAAGTCTTCTTCATAGATTTGTACCTGAAAGACAGACACGTGGGTGCTGTGACGGTCTTTCTTCTGTGCTCTTGGGACATTCAAGCCATCTCCTCCCAGGTGCCTCCTGGGCTTCTGCAGTGGGGCCCGCCCGCCCTCTGCTCCTGAGCCCTCTTCAGGGTGGGGTGGGGAAAGCCACAGGGCCGCAATTCATCCTCCACCTAGAGTGGAAGTCCTCGGATTTTTCCTTCTTGGGTGTGCATCAAGAATTCAGAGGGACAAAGTGTAAATTCCTTAAAACTCCTGTGCCCACACTTCTGCCGGGTGCCCTGCTGTGCTGGAGGCCTGGCTGGCCCTAAGTGTCACCACTGGAGCAAGCCAACGCCCGCACAGGGCTCAGCCTGAGGTTCTCAAAGTCAGTTTGCTGACAAGGGCTGTTGAGTGAAGCCACTAAGGACTGACGTGCCAACAGTGAGCACAGAAGCAAAGGCGGACAAATGTGGAGAGTGTGACTGTTGAGAGGCAGCCTCTCGGTTCGTCCTGGTAAGCAGCTTTAGAGGTACATGATAAAAAAGAAATATGTAAGGTTTTATCGCAACACTTCATATTCCAAATATTCCAGAAAAGTAATCAAGCAAATGAATTAATCCTTTTTTTTAAAAAGGATGTTGTCTGGTAGTTTGGAGACAAACATGTGAGGCTATAAAAATAAATGAAAGGTAGAGAATGAAGCAAAAGAAGTCTTCTAAGACTGAGGTTTAAATCACTTCTACATGGAAACCTCTGAGCTGGACACGGCACCTTCAGATTCCAACCAGAGGTGCAGCCATCTAAAGCAGTCAGATGAAAGCCAGCAGGCAGGAGGGGAGATCCAGCACTGCACGTAGATTCTGGAGGAGATGCATATGCATATGCAGACACACACACACGTGCACACACATGCACATACACGTGTGTACATATGCACACACACGCACATATGTATACATGCAAATATACACAGCACACAATATATACATGCACATACAGCATGCACACACACATACATGTATGCATACACATGCAAATATATAACACACACACGTATACATGCACTCACATATGCCATGCATACACACAAACATGCACAAAGATTACATGTGTGTACATGCATGTACATATATACAGGCAAACACATATATGTGTACGTAAGTGCACACAACACACATAACACACATGTGCTTACATGTACACGTGCACACATGCAAAATGCAGACACAAACAATATGCATGTACACACATGCAAGCATATACACACAGGCACAAGCATGTATGCACAGAAAAAACTGCACACACATGTACACATACATATATGCACACACACATATAGAGCATGCACACACACATGCACATGTGTACATACATGCACACACAAATATTTACACATAGATTTCATTTTCAAATCCTTATTCATCAGCCCCATTGCAAGGAAACTACATCCAGCCAAGCGACATTTTTATTTATTTTTTTGGTCAAGAGCTGAGGCTCAGTTCCAGGCAGACAGAGCAGTTACTGGGGTGTTTTGAACTGGAGAAGCCCGTGTAAAGAGAACTGAACATTCTAGCTAGCCGTGCCGTCACTTCAGTCCTAACTCAGATCCTCTGTGGATCTGAAACCTCCACTGCCCCGTGTGGCGCTTGGTGGCGTTGCAGTCATAGGTGCTGGCTGGGAAGTGGGTTTGGTCAAAATGTATGTGCAGAACATCACACACTCTCCCTAGTGCCAAGGAAGGGATGGGCGTCGCTCCACTGTTCAGCGCACATGAAAAGAACGCCTGTCAGGCCTGCATCCCACACTGGCTGACCCCACTGCAACCCACGTGCCAGGTGCCTCTGGCCTGCAGTGTGCTTAGTGGGTGAGCTCCAGGATGGTCCAGGCCTAAACACAGGCAGTACCTGCCCCGGAATCCTGCCTGGGCTGCCACCTGGACAGGACTTCAACAAACTGAAGGTCACCCTCGCTTTCTATGGATCGATTTTTAAGCCATATGCATGATCCCGAGTGTAACAGGCAGATTATCCTACGAGATAAAATGGAAAGAGAAGACCCATCTTTCCACCAAGAGCTCTGGATTTTAAACCCAGCTACTCCTTTCACGTAATGACGGTAAGTGAATATCAGTAACCCCATGGCTCAGCTTTCCCACGTGGGCACACTGAGATCCTTGTAATTGGCACATACTCAGAGCAAACTGGTCAATGAAAATGTCCAGGGGCCTCGAAAAGATAGAACTGATTTCCAGCCCTTCACCCCATGCTCGGTCTCCCCCTGCTAATAGGTTCTTGAGGGCACGAGCTGGGATTCCGGCGAGTCCCCTTACTCACTGCTACTTAGCCTCTCACAGGAGGAGAAACTTGACAGGCACGGCTGGCCCTTCAGCCAGGCGGACACTAGCCTGCTGGACTGAGCTCAGACACACGCAGCTTGGGCAGTGCTGCCTCCCCCAGGCTGGGCTGCCACCGCCCTCGAGGGCATCCTTGCTCTC